GGACTAGGTGCGTTCTACATAGTCCCCCTGAGCACAAGACCAAGTTGCGACAACGAGGTCAACCCACTTCTAACCTCTCTTAGCCTTTATTATTCTGTGGGAAATTTGATACCGAGAGGCAAAAATGTATTTGTAAATAAACTCGCTATACTTCTTGAATAAGGACTTAGTCAACCTAGGTTCCGACGATCAGATTAGTAGACCTTATTATACCTTTGAATTCCATCAGCACCTGCGGCGGAGTTACTTTCCCACTGAACTTATACCGAAAATCAACATACTACTGATTTCGAGGTTAGTAACCTATTTGTCTTTCTCAACCAATCTTAACAGTTTATTTTATAAGGATGAATAACGTCCCCTCTTTCCCTTTCATGAGTGGACTCGCAACCACTTGTAGGTGGTGTACCTTAATGAATGCAGTTGGATTGCCAAAATCAGGGCACCGAGGCATTCATTGGTCTTATTCAGTACTTGACCAAGCCTACTCAAGCACAACTTGACTGAAGTAAAGCTGGAAAAGGTCGTTAATGAGCGTGTTTGTTAGACTCATTGTCGTAAAACTTCAGATGCCACCATTCATGGGATGCTTTGCATGTTATTAGACCAACGGACCTTAAGAGCGGTTTGGAAGTTGGCAACTTGGTGGACTTACAAGGAGTTAATTTGTCCAATTAAGTCATAAACTTGGTCGATCGTTGGGCCGAGAGTCAGGGAGATAAAGTCAAAAACGGCACATATGTACTCGTCCACGAGCAAACTTGCTATTTCTCGGGCACATTTAAGGCAGGAGTGAACTATGCCCGTCGGTGATCCTAAAGGCAGCCGGCCAATCGGGCAAGGATCTAATACAAGCCTGTCGACAGGTACAACTGCGAGGCAAGACATGGCGGACCGAGAGTTTATGAGTAGTGCGCAAGTAGTGCTGTTGCAGCCAGCCAAATGTGTACACTGGCCAACAATTAAGCTTCGATTGCGTCGGGTCTTCTGGTAGGTAGGCGACCAGTCGTTGGGGTTGACGGGTGGCTGGTACGCTTCGCTACCGACTGGGTTACCGATCGGCTTGACTTTCCAGCATGTCTCTCAATAATGAGTCTACTTTTTGAGGCAGGTTTAGACTGTCGTTTTCGAGGTCATTCCTTCACGTCTGCCCCCCTCTGTCTCCAACCGTGGTACTAATTCACACCGTTTGTGTCCGTCAGTCGATCATTTGACAGGCTAGTCTGCACTTTTCTACCAATTGTGTGAGCCATTTCTTAGTCCATCACGGGTACAGACGGTTTATCACACCCCTGTCTTGGAGATGTGTTCACTTTCGCCTTGGCCGGGTGCAGGGCTGGCAAGTGGGCTTATGGACCACCGGTTTAGTTGGCGTTTTTACCGTTAATCTGTAGCTGTGATTGACATGGATCACCCTGGGAATGCATTATGGACACATTGTTGTTTCGTGCCCTCGGGCCAAACAATCCTCTCTCTCTCACACACCCACGTTTAAGCATATTAATCAACTATCTCCATCCAGATTACACACACTCACATGCAAAAACATACGCAACTATACCCATAGATGCTTACACATACACACACATACATACATACATACATACATACATACATACATGCATACATACATACATACATACATACATACATACATACATACATACATACATACATACATACATGCATACATGCCTACATGGATGCATGAATTAATACTTACTTACATTCCCATAAACAAACTAATACATTCCTTTATATATACACGCACGGATAAACATACACTTTGACTCGATTACGCGCAAATCCGGTTACCTGTAGTCCTAGGCTTCCAAACCTGACTTCAGACCTGTTGTCAATATTCTTAATTCTTTGATCCGATTTTCCCTTCCTTGTTTGGATTAATTCTTTGTCCTTCTATTCACACTGCATAGTTTTAGCACCTCCACTGCAACTTCAATTGTCGGACGACTGCAACCGTCCATCGGCTGGTTCACAGACGTCTACAGTTGGACAGTTGATGAACCCTCCTGGTCAAGCAAGTCGCTCGTCTTGAAGGCTTGTCAGGCAGTTGGGATAAGAAGAGACGATTTCGACTCATTCTGCCATCAATTCGTTCCACCGGTCGCCGCAACTCGGACAACTCGGCGTGTCTACCACGGATCCTAGTCGCCGAATCTCGGTCCAGCTCAGGTTCATCTCTCCGCATCCCGGCCTAGTGCCATGTCAGCAAGTCTATTCTGCATCTTCGCCACATAGTCGTACATGCAACCACCAGACCCGTTGCCTGAGGACGTCTTCGGTCAGCGTCATCTCTCAACTTGGCACCAGAATAAGACGCTTAGCAACGCACGTTTATAATCTCGACAAGGAGACTGGAGCTCGTTTGACCGAGCCAAAGGCAAGTCCTGGACTGTTGCAAATCTGACGCCTTGTAGGAATGGGCGGATCTAGAGGGTCGAGAGATTCGTATGCAACTGCTCAGGAATAATTGGGAGAGAGAGAGAGAGAGAGAGAGAGAGGTATAAGAAGAGTAAGTTCCAATCCCTAGACTCCTCAATATTTGACCTCTGGCCATTCCAGCTTGAGCTAAAGACCGGACTTCATGTCACCAGTGCCAAATGCAATTGTCTATCAAAGTATAAATGTTTACAAACTTTTGTACCTTCGGACCAAACCATCATTCATCCTAGGCCCCTCAGGTGGCATTACTTTGTAACATAATGATACTAGTAATAAAATTAATATTTATTGTAAATAATGATAAAATCATGATTTTATATTTGAACGC